GCCTCAATACATACCACTTGGTATCGGTTCCCGTTAGAGGTGGTGTTGAGACGAGGGTGACGTTGAAACTACATCCCCACCTAGATGAGATAGTCTTTTAGGAGGTAAAACAAATATAAATTTTAGGGCTTACTGATGCCTCCCAATTTGATTGTGGGAAAACTCGACTAGCAGCCTTTAAATTACCTTAAGCGGCCTAAGATGACGCATTTATTGGTCAAGAAGTACTGATAGTCTCGAAAACTGCTTTCCCCAACAATCTCACAACAGAATATGATATGGGAAAAATGCCTGACCTTTCTTAAAATTAACATCTCCTTCTGACCCAAGGGCTTTCGTGGAGCAGTGGGTAATGTGACGAGATTATAAGTTGCATTGTCATGTTTCGAGTCCCGCTAGGGATGTGGATAAGTGAGGTCGAAACTAAATTCCCCTCCTGCCTGGATGAGAATACGTTCTGGGAAATCATGACTATGTGCAATCCAATGAAAACGTACGGCCTGCTCATATTACGGCTCGAAAATTCAACTACCCGTCCCCTTATCACCTCTTCAATCACTTTAACTTACATAAAGTCACCTAGTTCTAATCATAACTACTACCAGGAACTGTTGAACACATTGAAGAATACCTATGCTCATTTTTTAGTTCCGGTTGCTGCCTTGTATTTCCCCACCCAAGTGCTGCCCCTACAGATGTACAGCTCGGCCTTTTGACTCCAGACAGGAAGTCCAAACTGGCACCTGTGGCAATATGCCATACAGCCTTACAACCACGGATTCGTCCGACGAGGTGGACGATGATGGGTTTGTGACGACAGCATTTCCCGCTTCGCCTCTGACCTCCTCATATCCGGCACTCAAACCTCCCATGGCTGAGCCGAGGCCGGAGAACCTGGCTCTCACCTTTGGCTCGAGCCTCGATAGCCCCAGACCGCCCAATACTAGGCCCCACCAAAGAATGTCAGCAACCCAATTGCTGCGGCCCTTGCAGGCCGCTTCGCCCGGCGTCGGACCTCGGGTTCAGAGTTGCCGATTGTGCTCGGCAAAAACAGATACGTCTCCGTCTGGAGCCAAAGACGGCAGAGAAAGTCGCCAGCAACGATGCACCTACTGGCACCCCCTTAATCCTGCCATAGGGCTCCGCCCGAGCCGCTTGAACCGCTACCAGACTCGGTACTGGCCCAGGGACTGCCGAACTGCACTAACTGCTGCCTCAGAACCAGCCGCCAATCGGACGCTCGGTGACACGTCGGCGACGGTCCCCTCTTCCTCGGCGTATGCCGCCTCCTCGTCCCTCCTTACTCGATCCGAGTCCTCCGTCTCCTCATACTCTCCACAATTGCTCGTACCAACGGTCTGCTGTTGCTCCCTTGACTGGCACACTGGCGAGCCACTGACTGCAAACCAAGCCTCCCGAAGGAGTCGTTCATGTCTGGCCAGCGGGTCGGAGCAGCAGAGATCGAGGCCAAACCAAGACGTCTTCCAAGCCGGGCTGACTCGACGTCGTCCGTCGTCAAGTCGACAGATACGATTTGGTGCCAGTCGTACTCGAGTAAGCTCCTAAGCACTTCTGTTGATGGACTCGCTTCGAGCCAATACTTCTGGTACCGAGAGTTCTTCATAATAATGAGCCACCCCTGCGAATATGGCTTGTATCCACCAGCTCTACAGCCTAAAATCGGACGCGTAGACTTCGTTCTCTAGCCTCTGGGCCGGATAGGGCATGAAAACAATCCCAAATTATGATGAGGAGTGGAATTTATAAGAAACCCTTAAGAATTTCATGCTGCTGTATTGGTCATTTTATTGGAGACGGTGGATGGAAGAAATTCATAAATCTATCCCATCGAAAACTGAGGGAGGATTTTAGATATGAGGAATAACTGGTTTTCGATGAACCTACTTAGATAGTATTGCTGGAGAGACTCTAATTTCGTATGAAAGTGCATGATAAATAAGTTCTTAAGTCGAACTAACCAACGACTGATCCCCGTTGTACTGCAGCCGTCTGGCTTTAATACGACGTTCAGATTGATGAAGTTCACGAAACATCCTCCCTCATTTTGGATGAAAATAGGCTAAGATTTCGTCAATCATATGATGGATATCCTCAAATCTGAAACTCACTTTTGTATATGTCTCACGTTAACACTAAGTCAAGACTGTCCGGCTATATCTTACCTCATTTATACTCATAACTGAAAAACTAAAATGTATAGTCATAGATAGATTTAGAATGGTTTGGCGAATTATCTTTCATATTAGTCATGCTACTTTTACTCGAATGTGTGTGTGTATTAACATCTATACGCGATAGTGGTCTTAAATCATAACGCTATAAAAGATCTAATGTCAGGTTCTGGTTGTCAAGGCATAATCACCCAGAAGAAACCCTGTCTGAGACTATGTAAGTCCGTAAGCAACTCTGGCTGGTATACTAAAATGTAAGCTTGTTAGCGTGTAAGACAGATTAGGAAATCATTCGCCATAACCATTCAGTCTATGATCAGTAAGAATTAAATATCGAAGGTATGAAGACTAAGATGGTACGGTCTTTTTTGTTGTCGCAGTGGTCAAACAACCTTTATACAAGAATTAAATATGCTTAATTTAGATATTTAAGTAGAAAAAGGGTATTAAGTCGCAGTACGAAAGAAGACGACTCAACTTTCAGCTCAGTTATGGTTCCAACTAAATTCAGACGAACAACAGGCATGTAAAACTCATCAATCAAAACAGATGTACGAGATTGCGCAATCCAAGTGATGCTTTTTCTTAGTATATTAAACCGTAATAAAGCTAAACTAACAGTTTCTGATAGGTGGTTTCGTAACCTGGCTTTCACAGGTACAGGCTTATATCTCATCAATTCAACCATAGCTTTTAACGAACTTATGCAAACTAAAGCATGCTTTTTCTTGAGTCATTAGGCCTTGATGACCCGGGGCTAACTTTAGGCTTTTTTCTAATTTTTTTGAGTTATGGCCGTTATTACGTTTAGATGTTAACACACATGCGCACAGCCAAGTACATACACACTCAGGTATAAAAGAACTAACCAAACCATTTTATATACATCTGTAGCTAAATATTTTTACGTTGTGGTTGTAGATTTGTTTGAATAGGTCCTCAGTGCACCGTCCTGCGACCCCGATAAATCCTTGCTGATCTTTCGTTCATCATGTGACAGACATCGTCAGAGCAGGACACCATGCCTAACAATAATTCATCAAATACAGGAAGGATAGAAAGATGGATGGCTTCAAACTTACATACTTCTTATAGTCCAATAAATTCTACTTAGGAATCTCATGTTTGGATTGGATATCCTACGCTTTGCCTCTATATTTGCTCAAACGTTAAGTTAAGTGACTGCGGATGACATGTAAAGTGGCTGTAGATGAAGCGTGAAACGGGTGCAATTGTGACCAACAGCTGCATCTTCCCCTAAAACACTTATGCCTTTTATCCTGCAGTGCTACCGCATGTGATTACGTTCTATTGCACACGAGCTGCGTGAATGCATTACGATTGAAATGAATGTTATGTGAGAATCAAAACCAGATTCAAGCCTAATAAAGCCTCCTCTTGCTGCCGTCGTGTAATATATCGAAGAAGATAGGCGAATTACTGAGGAGGTGCGACATCAGGACTATTTATAAAAAGAAAATAACAGTCTTCGGTATTGCCTTCCTTTCGAGAATATTCTGACACCCTCTCAAGATCGGGCTGTTACAAGATTTTGTTTCCATGTCGTAGTGCCTATGTAGGAGAGACCTGAAGACACATACATAAGAGGTTACCCGAATACAAAACAGCCTGCAACGGTATGTGGGTCCCAAAATCGGAATTGGCTGAACACATGGCTTGCACAGGATACCAGATAGATTGGTCTAATGCGAAACGCTTAGCTGGATATGGAGACTGTACCAGTAAGCGAAAGATTAGGGAGATGATAGGAATCAAGAAAACAGCCAACACGCTGAATAGAAGGAATGAGTTTGGGAAATTAAGCGGAAACTACTTGTGGCTGGTGGATAGGTTTATAAAGAAAGGGGGGAGGAAAGAGAAGTACCACCGAGCAAGAGGTGGAGGCTTGATTAGGCTGGAATTTAGTTTTGACTCTCACATCACACTCATTTCAAGGC